AGTCCCGCACCTAGCATAGCCCACACCCCAAGTTCCCATACCCTAAGTAAGTCCCCCCCTTACCCCGCTGTCCCTAACACATAGTCCCAGCACCTAGCATAGCCCACACCCCAAGTTCCCATACCCTAAGTAAGTCCCCCCCTTACCCCGCTGTCCCTAACACATAGTCCCAGCACCTAGCATAGCCCACACCCCAAGTTCCCATACCCTAAGTAAGTCCCCCCCTTACCCCGCTGTCCCTAACACATAGTCCCAGCACCTAGCATAGGCTACATGTCAAAATTTTGTATATTTAAAAAATTATTGAAAATAAGACTATTGTTTATTTTATTTAGTTAATATAATTTTATATTATATATGTGTTAATATATATAGCTATATGTCTTTATGTAATAGGTATAAATTTATAAATAAAAGTGCTTTAATAAATGAAAAGTATTAAATTTTATATATAATTACATATCTTTAAGTAATATAAATAAAATATATATTTTTTAAATAGGAATTGATAACTTTTGATTATAGCTGTTTAATTTTTTGATAATCTTGTATATTTATACACAAATAATCTGAGTAAACAATGCAGTTGTATTCAGAATAAAATTAGGTAATTTTTTGATCATATTTGATATATCTTATATATAATCTTTTATAAATATGTATATTTATAATCTGTATAAATATTGCAGATGTTTTTAAAATACAATTTAGTTACTCTTAGTCATAGTTATTAGATATTATATATAGTTTTACATAATATTACATAATAAATCTACATAAGTGGTAAAATAATAAAATGTACTGATTTGATCTTTGTTAAAAAATTGTTTTTCTAAAAGTCTAGTATTGCATCTATGATAAAATAAACCAATTCTTTTTTTTTGTACAAAAGACAAAATAGACTGATATGTCTTAAGCATTTTTTATATATTTCTTGATTGATGAAAATATTACCAATTAGAAGTATTTGAAAAAATCACAATTATAAATATACTATATAGTTATAATATAATAGCTTTATTTGACTGCTGAATTAAAATTGATTGAATTAAAATTTGTTTTATTGTTAATTTTAATAACAATATTTTGTATTTTATTTATATTTTATATAATAAATTAAAATTTTAGAGTCAGAAAAATTAAAAAATCACAGTAGCAGATATTATATAAAAATGTAACGCAATAAATATTGGTGACAGTAATTCCTCAATCAGAAAAGCAAGTAACCCATTTATTTTCATTTGTTTTGTTTTTGCAAACTTTTATTACATGCTTATGCCTTAATATTTTTTTTCCAAACACGCCTTTTTTTTATCAAATCTCAAAATGGCAACCTTTAATATTGCTGCTAAATACGACAATCGCATAATTCCAGATTATATAGAAGCTGTCAACTTCTTTGACCTTTCATCTGAAGATGAATTTACAAACTAGTTAAAGGTTATAGTTAAAAAATATGGCAATTGAGTTTACTATCAATCTTACAGTCATGAGAAGAACACGGTCTTTGTTTGGAAGCCTCTTGAAAATCCTCTCAAAGTAAAGACAGTAGTTTACTTATGTGATCATACTGGAAAACCACAAGTGAAAAAAACTTTTCAGCCTGCTCAGAAATGCGTCAGAACAACCAAGTCCGTCAAGACTGGTTTTTTTGCTAGTATCTATAAGCATACCATGACTGATGATACTGCTTGTATCAAATACAACTGGCAGCATCCAAACCATGATCTATTTAAGATTGAAGAGATCAGTTTGTCAAGATTGCCAGATGAATTAAAACAATAGGTAGAAGGGCTTGTCGGCCAAAACATAGTTTGGAAATCTATCAAAAACATGCTTAGAATGAGTGAAGACAGACTTCTTGAAGTAAATATTATATAGTATATTTTGAGAGACTTTGCTTATTTAAAATTACATAGCTGGAACAAGCTGGCAATAGATCTTCTTTCCCTTCTTCTCTTCTCATTGATTATCAATATGTGAGAAATTTTATCAATGCTCAAATGAGAAAACTCTCAAGAAACCATATAGATCATTATGAAAGTATCAAACTGTAAGTTCAAAAGTTGAACGAAAGTAAAAATACTACTCTTTTCATAGTTCATAAGAATGGCGCCTTTCTTGTTTTGTGGGTTTCTGAGTGGCAAAAAGAAGTAAATAATATGTATTATTTATATTTTATTCTATATACCTATTTATACATCTTATTATTGCATTAGTTTCTGGAGAATTCGGAAGAGTGGTGCATTGACTCAACACACAAAACAAGCAAGTCATTCAATACTGTAGCTGGTAAAAAACCTGAAGATTGCTTTCTGTTTACAATTGGTGTGCGAAACGCTATCACCAATAAGGGATTGCCTGTCTGCTTCTTTATAACTGATCATGAATATACCTTGACCTTAAGTCAATAGTTAACATTGATAATAAATATCTTTACATTAAAGGCAAAAAGAATAATGATTGACTGCAGGCCCATCGAAATTGGTGCAATGGAAGAAGTCTTTGGCAATAGTATTAATATCCTGTCATGTTATTGGCATATTAATAGAGCATGGGAAGTTAATGTAAAGAAGCATGTAAGTAGCATATTTATTTAAAGTTGTGTATATCTCATATAACACTATAATATAGATTAAAGTGCAAAACTCAACACATGCTTCAAACATAGCTTGTAACATTATTCATGCTGTATTGAGTAATATGATACATGCAACAACTTCTGTTGCCTATGATACACTTTATAATAAATTTCTTATGAAATTTGGGGAATATGAGGACTTTATTTTGTATTTTAACTGAATGTGGGTGCAGAAAAAAGAATTATGGTGCAAGGTATAGTGATTGATATGAAACTTTATTGATTATTTGCCTGTTTCTAATATATAATATAAACAATAGGTGACAACTTTTCACACCAATAATTTGATAGAGTCTTATTACAATCAGCTGAAGACTTTTTATCTTGGACATGCAAGATCTCTTCGAGTAGATAAACTTATTTATCTTCTGGCCAAAGTCTTGACTCTTGACTACAAACACAAAAATGTCAAGATATTATATGAATTCTAATTAGTAGACCTTACATGCCAAGAAGAGCAAAAAAGACAAAATATATACATGTTAGATAGCTATAATGCAATGGAAATGGTTGAGAAATTGAGTGATACTGTATTCACTTGCAGATCATTCACAGTTGATCTTGTTATATACAACATTGAGCTACACAATGGTTTTCTGCAAAACTGCACTTGCCCTGATACTTCTAAGCTTTGCAAGCATATCTTTCTCATCAATCGCATGCTAGATATTCCCTACTCTTTGTGCCAAAGTCTTTCCTCCTCCTCCTCTGCTGTCCATGTATCTAATACTGATACTAAAGCAGTAGTTGACACTTCCCTTCTTTCTGACGAGATAGAAGCTGATATCATAAACTATTATCAAGTATACTCTGTTGAACTTGACAGCAAGATAGCCGCGTACATGGAAATCTCAGAAGATGTGAGCAAGTTCTTAAATACGTTGAAGTTTGCATACAATAAGCTGAAAAAATATGGCTTCCCCTCTCAATCCCGTCCACCTCAACAAAGATAATTTTTTTTTATTATTTTTTTTTATTATCAATTATCAATTATATATTATGAACTACTATCTTTTTTTATTTTATTTTTAATTTTTATTTTTTTTTAAAATTTTCTTTATAAAAAAATCAAAATCCAAAAGTTTTTTAAGTTTTGACTTTCTTTTCTGATTGGAGAATTAATGATACTCATAAAATATTTTGTCTGTCCTTTGATTTTTGATTAAATAAAAGTCAATTTTATAATAAAAATCTTAAAATTTGTTTTTTATTTTTAATATATATAATATAAGTTGGTAAAAGTTAGTTTAAAAAATACTTATTATGTTATAGATATATTTATTTGTATAGAGAAATTATTCTTTTATTTTTTAAAGTAAATTCTTTTTATCTGCGTTTTTATTTGTGTTTTTTTATAGAATACAAAAACTAAATATAAATCAAAGCATATTTAATATTGTCTTCTACTAAAATTCAAGTATATAAAAATACTTGATAAGAAATAATATGTTTTATATTTGATATTTTTTAGTTTTCTTCAACATGAAATTTGATATATATATATTAATAATATAGATATACAGATTATATGAGACAGCTTCTCAATTTCTTTTCATTTTTTTTAAAAACAAATTAACACTTATTGTAAACTTTGTGTATTATTTAATTTGTATATCAATTTTAAAAAAAAACTGACTGCATTAAAAAGTATTTTGAGACTTTGTTTGTCTGATTTTATAAAAAATAAGTTTTTTCTTTTAGTATTTGTTTTACATATTGATGTTGATATTATATATTTATTTAAATAATATAATAAGAATATTATATAATATTTGTTTTCTTTATTCTATATAATATATCTGATTTTAGAATTAGTTTTTTATTTTAATTGTTAATAGTTTAAAAAATAAGCTATAATGTATAGTAGTTATTTATTTAATATCTATGTATCTTATTTGATACATATTCTGTTTTAATAGATAATTATATAAGATATAATAATATATATTACCCAAGTAATATAAAATAACTTTAGATAATAGTGTAAATATTAATATTATTTATTTATTAATAATTTAAAAGTTTTTGCAGCTAAATTATATAATATTTTTAAATATTCTGAACTTGCCAGAAAAATAGAGATGTTTTTAAGTTGCAATTTTTGAAAATCAACATTGGAAATGAACCCAAAGTTATTTTTTTGAGAATCAAAATTATTTTAAAATTTCGAAGACTTGTTTCAATTTCAATTTATAAGAGTTTTATTATTTTTTAATATTAAATAAAAAAATCTCATAAAGAATATATGTATATATGAATCTTCTATATTGTCTATAAATTGTAGTGAATGTAAATATACTTTTATAAAAATACAACTTATTCATTTGATATATTTAAAAAAAAATATGAGCAGAATATGTCAGGAGAGCAATGTGAGACATGATTTGTTTTTTTTTGAGATCCGTAGTTTAGCACTTTTAATGAGACTATCTACTTAATTAAAACATTTTAAACAGAAACTACTAGTTTTAATAACTGGATTTGGAAAATGAAGATAGTAAATTTTAAAACAAACAATTTTGTCTGTATAATATATAGTTTTATAAAAATTAACTAATTAAAGTATTTTGGTAAAATTAGATGCAAATATAAATAAAAGAAACTTAAATATATATAAAGTAATATAACAAAAACTTTTATACAGTTTTTATTTTTAATGAGAATATCAGAAGTTTCTATATGTGTTAAAAATACTACTTTACTTTGATACTTTATATTTTTTCTATATTTTTCTTCTTAGAAACAATTATTAAATATTATGAAATATTCATTTTTATTATTAATATATTTTAAGAAAAACATCTTTATTTTATATTATTTGTAATAACTTAAAAATATGTATTTGTTTTTTATATTAACTACTTGTTAATATTAATTCAGATTAATATTTGACCTAAGTTATAAATTTCTAAGACAGTTAGTTTATGATCTGAATTCTGCAGATTTAATAAATATAAATTTATCAATAAAAATTTTCAATTTTTTTATTATTTATTAAACCAGTAAAAAAATATAATAGTTTTGATTGTCAGCTGTTAAATTTATCAGAAATAAAAGTATATACATATTGTGATTAGTTTGAAGCTAATATGGAATCAGTATATAAAATATCTATTTAATTAATTAAATAATTAAATTAATGTTTTCTATAATTATTATTACAAATAATATAAAAAATATGAATATACTCAGTAAACAAGATAAATATATGGTTTTAATAAAAATATTAAAAATAAAATAATAAAAAACAAATAAAAAAATTTACAAAATAAAATTACTGTCATCAGTACTATCACTAGTATTATTACTATCACTACTGATAGCATTTTTATTTTCGAAAGAAGATGATTCATTTTCTGTGAAATATGTTTTATAGTCTGGATCAAGATCTAGCAAAAGTTGCTGTTCTAAGCTGATATTATTATCCTTTATTTGTCTGACAATAGAAATTCTGGCCAAAGTTTATAATAGATATATCCAAAGATTTCCAGTATGCTTGCGCCTCCAAATAAACTGCATTAATTTTCATGATACTATTTTTTTGGTTTTTGATCTTGAGACCATTTGCTGCCTTACATCATTTGAAGTACTTAATAAATTATTAATAATAATTTCTTTCAAAATGTTTTAATATTACCTTCAATCGTGTTGGTATGTATACCTTCACTTATTTTATATTCAACAGAATGATTTACTGTTGAATGTCTATATCCCAGTGTTTCTAACTGATTGTATAATTTAAAATAATCAGTGTGAATGATAGAGCCTGATAGAATATGATGTTGGATAATATTCAAAAAATTGTCAGCAGTTCTATTTGATACAGCTACCAAAAAGATTTTTCTTTCTGATGTCTGCTCAACACCCCAGAACCCAAATACCTTCAACTCTATGCTCTTTATTATACTTTCACTTTTCAAAATTAGACTCATCAATTTCAACAGTAATTCTTTCTCCTCCTATTATATTATTAGAATTTATTAATAAAACATATATTATATTTTACTTACCAATCAAAGAGTCATTACTACTGATATCTTGACAAATAACTTTTTGAATACCTGCCATAAAAATACCAATTGTCTTTTTGCTCAGTTTGGTTGCTTCTTCAGTCTTATTCAATACATAATTCAAGATGAAACACCAAATAAGATATATCATAATATTTAAAGTCATCTTTTTAAAAGAAAAGATAGTATCTTTTCCGATAGACATTTCACTTCTGTTACAGCAGTTTCTGGAATTGCACTTGCAGTAAAACTTCTCTCTACTGATATGACACTGTAAAGTTATAGGCCATTCATTGCAACATGACATGTGCTCATAGAGAATATTATTTTCTTTCAGATAACTATAATATAAAATATATATATATATTATTATAATTAATATATATTTAAAGAATTATTGATTAATACAACTTACATAACAGAAGTCTTCTTAGACTCAGTAATTTTATGAATTTGTTCAAAGTCTGGTGTGATTGACATATCTTTTGGTTGAAAATAGTTGGGCATATGAAATAATCAAAAATAAAAATAAAATATAAATATTAAAAGAAAGAAAGAAAGAAATAATAAAAAAAAAGATATTTATATTATTTTCAAAAATTTTAATTTTTAGACTGTTTTATTTAGCTGTCATAAATAAAATCACTATCTACAGTCACATAAATATAATAATGTTTAATTTTTAATGAAATAAAAAAAAGACTACAACCAGGTTTAAACTCTGACTGTGGGAGTGAAAGCGCAAAAATATACTATTGTGCCAAAACGCTTGTTATACTGTGTCACGTGTGTTGTAACCAGGTCTTGCTTTTGACCATGTTGTGATGTCCAGTACCAAAAGGTCAGTCTGCTCGGCGGGTTTGTCTGGCAGTTTGTTGTGACGTGTCATCCTAGTTATGAGAGGCTGACATCAACGGTATGTTGATGTGATGCTGTGCTCTAGGTAGTACGAGGAGAATTTTTCTGCGAATAGGAAAAATCTCATTTCTGTTCTCTGCTCCTTCTATACACAATATTTTTTCGTTTTCTCTTGTTAACATATTTGTCAACATTGTACTCATTCGAAATCATGGTCCCCCATGCTTGTAACATTTCCCTTCTACAATGCAAATAATTCATCTTGTCAACATCTCCGTGCAACATCAGTACCTTTATTATTATATTTTTTTATCATATTATTATTTATATATTTTATTCTTGCCGTATTGATTATTGATTATTCTATTTTTTACTATCTTTATTTTTTCAAACTTCTATTATCAACTTAAAATCTTGTCGACTATAAAAAGAGAAACAAACTCAACTCAATAAATCATTAATTCAGTTTCAGTATCTTTTTCTTGTTTTCTTCTCTTTGTTGTCTATACCATCTTGTGACATAACATGTTGATTCC